TAGGAATAACGTCAATAGGAAAAGAGGTTTTGCTTAAAACTGATAAGCATGACAGATTTAGGACACTTCTCCCAACAAGAGCAGAGAATACTCTTCTCAAGTGCCTATGGGCTGTTCTCCAGGATAAGCCATGTGTTAAGCATCAAAAACAGTCTCTCCCTCTCTCTCTCCCTCTCTCTCTCTCTCCATATATATATAAATATATGATAAATATATGGAATTGAGCTCAGAGCCTTGCATAGGTGCTTGTGCTGCTGAGCTATATCCTTGGCCCCTCAATATATTTTAAAAGATTGATATCTTACTGTCTTGGTTACTTTCCTCTCATTGCTGGAACAAAATACCTGACACCCAAAATTAAGGAAGGAAAGGTTTATTTCGCTTACAGTTTGTGGAGGTTTTAGTCCATACTTGGCAGGTTACAAGGCAGAGTGGCACATGGCAGAGGGCTGCAGCTCATCGTGGCAGAACACAGCCAAAGCAACAAGCACACACAAGGGAGGAATGGCCGCAAGCAGCCTCTTCCTCTACCTTACATGTGCAAACTATCCACCCTAGGGCGGGTGTAGCTCTCACACCCATAATCAATCAAACTCTTAAAGCCTGCCCCATGACCACTTGAGGCTTTGGGGGGACACACAGACACAAACCATAACACTTACAAAGTGTTTTTTTTCTGATGACAACTATATATTTTACTATGTGAAATCAGTAACTTATAGCAACTTATAAACCCATATATAAACTTCTACAGAATGACTTTCCTTTCTCTTTCTTCCTCTCCCTCTCTCTCACTCTCTCCCCTCCTTTTTCTTTCTTTTATCTGGATTTACATAGTATATATGTAACTGTATAAAATTTAATAATAACTCCCTTTTCTTTCACCTTGTTTTTAAGTATTTCATATTCATTGTTTATCTTTGCTATTGGTTTGAATTCTACTTGGAGAAAGTCCATGTGTTTTTTAAAAAATGAATCCAAATTATTTGCAGCCTGAATACTTAATGAGAATGAGAGATGCATGTGAAACTTGCAAAAGACAGGAAACATGATTTTCTTCTGTTTCCAAAACCACAAATATAATTCAGGCAATCAAGATTAAATCCCAAAACTATCAGAAAGTTCAGTAAAATAATCAACTAATTTTGAGGTACACTTCTATTTTGAAAAGAAAAAAATCTTCAAGTGACAGATAATATAGACATATCTCATTCCATTCACTTGTTTGAGCTGTTGTGACAGACTAAATAATGAGATGGACCATTTTATATCAACAGGATATGATCAATGAGTACAGTAATTGCTTAAATTTTAACAAACTTACCCCATCAATCTTTCCACTTGCTGAAAGAGTTCTGGAAGTCCTCTTTTGTGAGTGTCCAGTTGCACTGTCATAGCTACCTCCACGTCCTCAGGTGATTTAAAATATTTAGATTTCACAGTCATTTTCCCTTGGGAAGAGCCAGATTCAATAAATAGGGTAGATGAGGACACACCATAACTTTTTTATATGCCTTCGTTTCCACAGGATGGCACTGGACAGGAGAATTCTCCCTAACTGCTTCAGAAAGTGGCAAGAATAGTGGGAAACCTGTGTTTGAAACAGGGGGTTGTGTGAGGGGAATTAATGGCAATATGTCTTTCACTGTAATAATTTTTAAATTTAAAATTCATTATATATTTTTATCACACCTTATATACTGTTTCACTGCTATTGCTGTGTCTTTTTAAAACCTCATTCTCTGATATTCTTTACCACTCTCAGACCTTAACTTTCTGTTTTTTGCAGACAACTCATAATCCTGAAGGCCTCTGATTGCTCTGTAAACACTTCCTTACAAAGTTAATCAGCAACAAAATTCCTCCACACAATCTCCTTATTCATTTCAGTTTTGTCTTTTTTTTTTTTAAGAGAATTTTTAAAAAACAACAGCAAAATGCCAACAACATTAACAAGAGCAAAAACAACAAGAATGATACAGTGTTTCAGAACAAAATGATAGGAATTAACAGTGGTTGTTATATTACATGATTTTATCTTCATCGAAGTTGGTCAGATTACCAGATGTAAGAATGCAAGATTGATCAAA